GAAGAGCATAGACAATTTTGTCTATGGTTGTGTCTATCTCATCTGCTTTGTCTCGAACCTTGTGTACTCCATCCCATAATTTTTCCACGTAGAAGTAAGTCTGGTTGTTATGATCATTGATAGTTTCTTCTGCTTCATAATGCTTGATCTCTGTGGCGCGAATGCTGCTGTTAACTTTACAAATGTTGACTTCATTCTCTCCAACTTGCTCTTCAACTTCGTCTATCCTCTTATGGATAAATGCATTATCTTTGCTTGCCTGAGTTTTGATGGACTTGATTTGAGCTGAGAGATCTTCGAACTTTTTATTAAAGTGAATAGACATACTATCAATCCTCTCCTGAAGTGCGGACTTAGAGACGCTTGAGCTTCAATGAACTGCTTGATCGTGGCTTCAAGCTGCTCCAATCGATTACTGATCTGGACGTTCTCATCTTGCTGGAGGATTTGGTGAGGTAGGCGATGAACAGGTGGTCTAGGGTTTACCATAGGAGGCGTGTAGGGGTCGTCCAGGAATGCTCGGTGGTTCAGATCAGAGTTCCGAACATAGTTAAAGAGGTCGTGTATGTACTGCTCTTCTCTGTGTCTGGTGGCTTGGGAAGTGTTGTAAAAACCTCCCTCGTAGTAGGGATTTCGATTTATAGGATCCATTGCCTCGAGAACTGAAACAAATAGAACCAAAAACGAAAATAAGCATAAAAGAGTTCTATAGTCGATTTACCAACCTTTCTTAGGGTTTTGGGGAAAAGGAAACGTTTGCCTTCCCCAGCAACGGAGCCATGCGTGCATGGTGAGGGTGTCAAGTTTTACCCTAATGAAATCAATAAGCCACAAGTGCACAGCTTATCGATTGTAATACTTAGGGATCGAATCCACATGGAATGAGGTTCTTTCCTGCAAAAGCCTTTGAAAGAAATATAAAGTAACGAATTCTAGAACCAGGCGAAATTAAAAGGGTTTTGGTGGTGTCTTTAAAACATAAAAACTAATCTAAACGGGAAAATACAAGAATCAGAATGATTCAAAATATTGCTAAAAAGTAAATTAAAAGATCCTAGCTAAAATTTTTTAACTCGAGTCACGAAAGTATGAATACGCCACTTTTGTGATCATAACCAAATATCTCTCGTAACCCTGACCAGTAGGTTTCCACTCTGGTCCTAGAAGGGAAAACATGCAAGCTTGCCTAAGACTCGTCAACATTCACAATTCGCCCATAGGTAGGTTTCCACTCCTATGGTTGATCTGCTCTTCTCAAATTAAATCTGGCCCCGGATGAATACTTTCGCAACACCAAGGACCTAGATCAGATTGTAGTTCATGACGCTACTCCCATGCATTAAAAATAAGTTTATAAGAAAAACTTCTAGGATTTGGCTTCAATAGCTAATGGAATCCTCATTGAATATATATAGCCCCTATCTAAATTCCCTTAAACCCATCAATAAAACTATTCAGACATGAGTAAAGAAAGCAAAAACATTGTATTGAGAAGCTGTATTGAAATCGATATGGTAAAGGAACAAAAATGGTTCAAGAGATATATCTCTTTCTCCCTAGACCTAAAACTAAGAAAATGAAAGACAAAAACTTAAAATCTGCTGAAAGAGAAATTGCATATGTCGTCTAGGGCTCCTAAAAACATGTATTTATAGTGTTCAAGTCATTTATGGGCGTCACATAGGGTTTCTCCAAATGAGGGAATCGTCTTGGGCTTGAAAATGGGCTTCTAGGCTGGACAGAACAATCTCCGCGGTCGGGAAGGACGGGAAAGGTGTGAATTGGGTGCTGGCCGCAGGTAGGAATGCTTGTCGGCTGGTTTAGGAGATATTTTGCTCTTCGCGTAACTTTTGATTGACCCGTTGGATTGCCATGCTGTAAAAAGTTCTGGAAAGTTGGTAGTTCCATCTTTAAGGTCTCCAAATTTTAGCTGGATCAGACGGTGAGAAGATCTTCATTTGAGGGTGAACTTCTGACGGTTTGACTATGAGCTAGAAATCTGTTCTTTTTATCCATTTTGTTAAGCTTTTTCCTAAGTTTCCTGAAAAGAGTCTTGAAACTACAAGTACTAGAAAAACATAATAAAAACAATTTAAAGCAATAAAAAACATAGAAAAAGTATTTCAAAATAATCCATAAAAGATGGCTATCAGTTACCATATTTAAACAAGACGGTTAAAGAATTTTGAGCGATTGTTAGTAAAGATGGTAAGAAAAGAAGAGATTAGAGATAGTGGATGAAAAATACGGTTTAGTAACAAAAAACGGTTCAGTATTAAGCTGGATTAGTAACATTACAGCGGTTGAATAGTATAACTATATAAAATTATTAATCTGTTTAGATAATTATTTATTAAATGATGCAATAATATATACTTTAAATTTTATGATATAAATTCAGTAAACATATATGTATTACAATTATTATTTTTGAAATAATATTTGCACAATTCAAAATAACTCCTCTTATAAACTGTTATAATAATTTACATCATTTGTGTATGATCTGCCCATAACATATTTGCAATTTGGTTACGAACTGTTGCCATATATGGTGTAAGACTCGGAGGAGAGTCTCACAAGGGTTTAATGGAGATCTAACAAGCTGGCCTTCGCTCTCTCTTGTTGGCTCGGTACAAGGAGAAAGTGAGGGTGGATTGATGGCACCACAGAGAAGATAGAGGGGTTAACTGATACAGCAAACACTAGCAAAAGAAAAGACTTTATAAACATTCCATCAGCGTGAACCTTATAGGGTTCGAATCAAGCAAAAGAAAATACTCAAAACAACAGGACATTCTAAAGAAACAAAAGAAAACGGCAGCTTGTCTCATTTGGACACAAATAAGAAAAGTCTACTTAAACAAAAATAAAAAGAAATAAAACTACTGGCTTTAACCGAGGCTTGATCCCTGGTGTCTCTGGCCTCTCGTGGCTCTAATCACAACTGCGCTGGTCTTCTGCCCCTGCACAAAACTCATAAAAAAAGGTTACCTATTGTGCACGCAAGAGGGGCCAAGTGAGAGATGAGATGATCTTAACTTGTCTTGAGGCGATCTTCGAGTGGTCTTCTGCGACATCTTTGGTGTTCAGGGTGCTTGTTACAAGGGCGTCTCTTGTGAAAGCTCAAACTGGTCGCTAGCGATTAAGTCTTTGGTGTCATCGGACTTTGGCTCTTGGATGTTGATCTCCTCGGGTTCTTTGACGGTCTCAGCTCCATGCCCTTCCACAAGATATTTCATACCTGATTCCATGCTAGACCGCGGCTGGATCGGTTGAGAATGATCTGTGACCTCCACTTAATGCTCCTCGGGCGTATGCATGAAGTTTGCTTTGACTAAGTTAATCTTTTCGTGCAGGCTCCTGGTTCTGGATCGAGTCATGGGGCCTGTTTGGAGTGTTGGAATGTTGAGATACTCCTTGGAGTGCTCGATGACCTCATCATTCCCTCCCTCTTCAAGTGTTTTGTCCTCAAAACTGTTACATCTACATCAAACGGGGACAAGTCAGCTACATTGAAACTATGTGATCTATTAAAATCACATGGGAGCTCGAGTTTGTAGGCATTGTCGTTTATCCTCTTCAAGACACGGAAGGGTCTATCTCCTCGAAGTGCTAACTTGTGTGGAAAGCGTTCAGGTCTCATGTGGAGCCAAACCCATTCTTTGGGTTCAAAAACAAGTTTCTTGCGGCCCTTGTCAGCCCTCCTCTTGTATTCCTCAGTATTTTTTCTATATTCTCCTTGGCTCTTTGATGAAGCTTCTTGTCGAACTCCCCCTTCTTTAAATCATCTAAGTTTACTTGTTCCAATTGAGGTAATGGCGAAAGATCTAAAGGGGGTTAATGGATTAAATCCATATACAACTTCAAAAGGAGACAGAATAGTAGCAGAGTGGGTGGCTCTATTATAAGCAAATTCAACAAAGGGTAGACACTTTAACCAATTTTTCAAGTTTTTATTAATTGTAGCTCGAAGAAGGGTTGAGAGATTGCGGTTCACCACTTCAGTCTGTCCGTCTGTTTGGGGATGACATGTGGTTGAGAAAAGGATTTTGGTGCCTAGTTTATGCCACTGTGTCTTCCAAAAGTGGCTCAAGAACTTAATGTCTTGGTCAGACACAATAGTTCTAGGGACTCCATACAAGCGCACCACTTCCTTGAAGAATAGATCAGAGGTTTGTATTGCATCATTCACCTTGGTACATGGTATGAAGTGTGCCATCTTAGAGAAACGGTCCACCACCACAAAAATTGAGTCTTTGTGCCTAATCTTGGGTAAACCTAGCACAAAGTCCATAGAAATATACACCCAAGGGGCATTAGGAATAGGTAAGGGAATGTATAATCTATGAGGATGTAACCTGGACTTGGCTTTGCGACATGTTATGCATTTTGAACAGAATATTTTCCACATCTTTCTTCATGTGTGGCCAAAAGAAATGATCCACTAGTATAGCTAAGGTCTTGTCTATACCAAAATGACTCATTAGACCGCCACCATGAGCTTCTCTCATCAACAACTCTCGCAGGGATCCTTGTGGAATGCAAAGCCTCCTGTCTCTAAACAAGAAAACATCATGCAACTAGTATGCTCCAAAGGCTCCTTTCCCACTTGCTTTGAAGCTCTCGGAGAAATCAGGATCCTCCTCATAAAGGTCCTTAATGTGCTCAAATCCTAAGACCTTGGCCTCCATGGTCGAAATCAAGGTGTGCCTCCTTGACAATGCGTCAGCGACCACATTGTCTTTGCCCTTCTTGTATTTGATGATGTATGGGAAAGTATCGATGAACTCCAACCATTTAGCATGTCGTCTCTGCAGGTTTTTTTGACCTCTGAGATACTTGAGGGTCTCATGGTCAGTGTGTATGAAAAACTCCTTGGAATGAAGGTAATGCTGCCAGGTCTCCAATGCCCTCACAAGTGTGTATAATTCCTTATCATACGTGGGGTAGTTCATGGCGGCTCTACTCAGCTTCTCACTGAAATAAGCTACGGGTCTCTACCTCTGGTGTAGCACGACTCCAATCCCTAATCTTGAGGCATCACATTCAACTTCAAACATAATATCAAAATCGGGTAAAGCTAAAACAGGTTCTTGTGTTAAACGGGTCTTAAAGTTATTGAATGCAGTTTCTTGGGCGGCTCCCCATGAAAATGGAGTATTCTTTTTGATAACAGCTGTGAGTAGGGCAGCTACGGTGCTGAAATCTCGCACAAATCGACGATAGAAGCTTGGCAGTCCATGGAAGCTCCAAAATTGGCTAACGGTGGAGGGAGTTGGCCAGTCCAGTATTGCCTTTATCTTTTCTTGATCCACTTGTAAGCGTTGTTCGCTGACAACAAAGCCTAAAAACACAAGCTTGTTAGTACAAAAGGAGCACTTCTTTAGGTTGGCATAAAGCTCTTCCCCACGAAGTGTTTTAAGAACTAGTTCTAAGTGCATAAGGTGATCAGACAAGCATTTGCTGTATACAAGGATATCATCAAAGTACACAACAACAAATTTACGAATGAAAGATCTTAGAACCTGGTTCATTAGTCGCATGAATGTGCTTGGGGCGTTGGTTAACCTAAATGGCATCACTAGTCATTTGTATAAGCCTTGTTTGGTCTTGAAGGCTATTTTCCACTCATCACCTTCGCGCATCCTCACTTGATGATACCCACTTTTAAGATCCACCTTTGAGAAGATGGTTGCACCATTAGCTCATCAAGCATGTCGTCTAAGCGAAGGATTGGGTGTATATACTTAATGGTAATATTGTTGACAGCTCTACAGTCAACACACATTCTCCAAGTGCCATCCTTCTTGGGTACCAACAATACAGGAACCGCACATGGGCTGAGGCTCTCTCGTATGTACCCTTTGCCCATCAAGTCTCTTACTTGCCTCTCAAGTTCCTTGCTCTCCTCAGGGTTCATCCTGTAGGCAGGTTTATTGGGCAATGCTGCACCTGGAATAAGGTCTATTTGATGCTCAATGCCACGAATGGGAGGCAATCATGCGTATATCTCATCTGGAAACACATCTTTGAATCAGTCTATGAGGATTTGTATTTCTAGAGGTAGCTCAAGTTCTTTACCCCCTGTGCTTAAACATTCTTTATAAACCATTAGTAGTATAGTGCCATTGGCACTTATAGTTTTCGAAATGGAGCCAGATGTAATGTATAAGCTAGTTTTACTTACCTGGTGCTCCTTATTCACTCGAGCTTGTAGCTCATGAACTTTGGAAGGTGTAAGTGGGGCCAAGTTGAACTTATGATCTTGGTGAGTGAAAGAATAGAAGTTGGTGCGGCCATTGTGGGTGGTGGCTCGGTCATATTGCCAAGGCTGTCCTAACAAAATATGCCCAGCTTGCATCGGCACCACATCACACAAGACTTGGTCTTGATATTTACCTACACTGAATGGGACAGTGACTTAATCCGTGACCATCAACTATGTTGTGTTGTTGAGCCACAGCAGCTTGTAGGGCCTTAGGTGCTTATTGGTTTCTAGTCCCAACCTGTCTCCCATAAACTTGCTAGCCACATTAGCACAAGAACCACCATCTATAACCAAATTACATACCTTGCCGCGAATAGTGAAACTGGTGTGAAATAGGTTTTCACGTTGGAATTTCTCCTCAGGGTTGACAAGAACACTAAGCACACGTCTGGTCACCTGTAGTTCTCCGGTGTCAGGATATTCCACGTCTTCAACCGAATAATCTGGTTTGTCGTCTTGCTTGTCTTGATACTCATAGTCTCCACCGGGTAGCAACACCATCACGCATTGGTTTTGGCATTTTTTGGACATGTGGTCTCTCCCCTAACAATTAAAACATATAATATCTCGAGTTCTAGGGCCATTAAAGAGCTTACCTTGCTCTGGCCGTGTTGTTCTATTAGCGTCGGTGGGTTTGATCTTAAGCTGTGAATCTATTTCTACGGCTTTTCCTTTGTCTAGAGACTTAGAACTGTTAGCACTCCATGTTTGTGGTGTGCAGGTTTGGTTTGACAAGGCTGTCTTGCGCTTGATCTATTGCTCTACTTAGATTGATAAGTCAACAACTCATGCATCCCACTATATTGAGCTCTCTTGACCTTACGAGCTATACGCTCTTGTAAACCATCGATGAACTGAGCCATCAAAGCCTCATCGGTCTCTTCTAGCTCCAATAAGTTCACCAGCTTCTCAAACTCCTTGAAGTACTCTCAACCGACCTAGTTCCCTGCAATAATTTTCAAATATATTTTTGCAAATCTTGGTGATAGTGATCAGGAACATACCTAGACCGAAGCAAGAACTTCATGTCTCGCCAAGTAGTAACTGGTGCAAATCGATTCCTTCTTCAATCAGCCACAATCCTATCCCACCAGGCTATGGCGTTTTCAGTGAGTTGGGCACCAGCTAATACCACTTTCTTGCGGTCCGAGTAAGCATAACACTCAAAGATGTATTCAAGCCTTCTCTCCCAGTCCAAATACACGTTGGGGTCTGATTTTCCTGCAAAGGTAGGAGGAGTAAATTTAACATCATAATTACCCTCTCAAGGCTCGTGTTGTCTCGCATTATGCCTGCTCAAAAGGTCTTGAGCTTGCTGTTGTTGTCGTAGCAATGGGTCAGGAGGGATATCATCTTCTAAGATGGGCATATCTTCCTCGTGTGGAGGCAGATTTCATCCCGGCTGTTGAAAAGCAGCAGCCGCAGGGGCTGGTGGAGGCTGTTCCAAACGGCCTACACGCTCTCATTGTCCTCATCTCTTCTCGCATCGCGGTCAACATTTGCATTATTGCATCTTGTGGTACAGCGTGTTCAGCCATGATGTTTCAGGTGAGGGTTTCCTGCGCACCAAAAACAACAAGACAATCACGGTATCACGGGAAAAGAGAAATGGAAACACGCAAACAAAAGAGTAAGTGCACAAAGATGAATCATGTAAGTGAACAAAATTACATACCTTGCCGCGAATAGTGCAACGGGTGTGAAATAGGTTTTCACGTTGGAGTTTCTCCTTAGGGTTGATATGAACAGTAAGCACACGTCTGGTCACCAGTAGTTCTCTGGTGTCAGGATATTCCACGTCTTCACCTGAATCATCTGGTTCGTTGTCTTGCTCGTCTTGAGACTCATAGTCTCCCCCGGGTAGCAACACCATCACGCGTTGGTTTCGGCATTTTTTTGGCCAGGTGGTCTCTCCCCTAACAATTAAAACATATAATATCTCGAGTTCTAGGGCCATGACGGAACTTACCTTGCTGATGTGTCATGTGTTGAGGGTGTCAAATTTAACCTAAATGAAATCAATAGCCGCAAGTGCACAGCTGATAGATTATAGTACTTAGGGATCGAATCCACACGGAAGGAGGATCTTTCCTGCAAAAGCCTTCGAAAGAAATATAAAGTAAGGAAGTCTAGAACCAAACGGTTTTGTGGGGGTTTTGGTGTTGTGTTTAAAATGTAAAAACGAATCTTAAAGAGAAAATACGGGAATTAAAATGACCTAATAACTAAACTTAACGAAAATGGATAAAAACGAGAAAAACGGCTAATCTAATTGCTTAAATGAAAATCGATTAAAAAGGAATGAGAATATTGAACTAAAGCTTGAAATAAAACGGTGTGAATCTATAAGAAAGAAAGTGCTGGGCTTCAGGGAAGTTTTCTCAGGGGTACGAACGATTCAAAACATTGCTAGAGAGTAAATTTGATAAGATCTTAGCTTAAACTTTTCGAACTAGAGTCACGGACGTATGAATACGCCACTGTTGTGATCATAGACAACGATCTCTCTCAACCCTGACAAGTAGGTTTCCACTCTGGCCCTGGAAAAGAAGAGATGCATTGTGTTTAAGACTCGTCAGCATTCACAAATCGCCCATAGGTAGGTTTCCAGTCCTATGTTTGTTTTGCTCTCCGAAACTAGATCTGACACCGGATGAACACTTTCGTGTCACCAAGCATCTGGATCAGATTGTAGTTCATGACGCTACTCTCATGCAGTAAAAACGAATTCAGAAGAAGAAGTTCTAAGATTCGGCTCAAAAGCTCATGGAATCCTCATCGAACATATAAATCCCCATCGAAAATCCCTTAGTCCCAACAATAAAACTACTCAAACATGATGAACGAAATCAAAAACATAGTATTAAAAAGTAGAATAGAAACCGAAATTGAAAAAGAAAGAACAAGGGTTCAAGAGACAAATCTCTCTCTCCCTAAAACTTAAAAAGTATTCTAAAAAATAAGAACATATGAAGGCATACGAATTAGGGTTCCTAAGACATGTATTTATAGTGCTCTAGACATCTCTGGACGTTACTTAGGGTTTCTCCAAATGAGGGAATCATTTTGGGCTTCCAAAATGGGCCTTCGGGTTCGGAGTTAGCTGACCGCGGTCAGGATGAGTTTGACCGCGGGAAATGGTTTGTTGGCCGCGGGTGGAAACGCTTGCCGGCTGGTTTACGAAACATCTTACTCTTCGCGTATCTTTTGATTGGACCGTTGGATTTCCAAGCTGTAAAGTGTGCTGGAAAGCTGATACTTCCATCTTTAAGATCTCCGAATTTGAGCTGAATCAGACGGTGAGAAGGCCTTCAATCAGGGGTGAACTTCTGGCGGTTTGACTCTGAGCTGAAATCTGGTTTTCTATCCATTTTGCTAAGCTTTTCCCTAAGTTACCTGAAAAGAGTCTTGGAACTACAAATACTAGAAAAATGTGATAAAAGTACTTAAAAGCAATTGAAAACATAGAAAAAGTATTTCAAAACGATCCATAAAAGTGATCAAAATACAGTGTTATCAACTCCCCCAGACTTAAACCTTTGTTTGTCCTCAAACAAAGCAAAAGCCTAAACTGGTTAAGTGAAAACAAAAATAGGGAATGCACAAATCTCAGAGACATGAACTCCTAAACTAGGACCAAAGATAGTGCATCAATCCACAACTTAGTCTAGAAAATTCTCACCAATGCACAAGAGATACTAGTCCATCCGTCATGCAAAACTTAAACAATCTAAATCTTGATTCCAGTTAACTAGCTCTCTACATTCATTAAGTTCAATAGTGAGTTCTCATTAAAGACATCATCCAGGGTAGACGGCATTTGGCATTAAAGGGCTGTTTAAGTGGTGGAGTTAAAGTGTTTCAGGTTACCTGAAGATCTGGAAGATGCAAGATAATATGCAAAACCGCAAGAGAGATAAGGACTTGTTGATGATCGCAATTTTCAGTCACTTCTTCTTTCCAAATGTTGTTGCATAATCCTTTCTCCTTTGTTGTAAACAGCTATTCCCCCAGACTTAGATTCTTTCCGGGAATCAGAAAACAATCTCCAAAACTCCATAAAATCGAACTCCAGTTGCCTTGGGACTTAAAATTCGACTCTAGAGACTCTCTAAGGTTTTTATTTCCTTTCTTTTCTTATTTTCGGATTTTTTTTTTTTGGAAAGGAAATGCCTTTTAAAGAGAGAGACTAGAGGACGAGATTGTACCAAAATTTGAGATTTTTCTAAGGCAAACTGAGCTTCCTCTTGTGTTGAATCCTTCCGGGAACTCTTCCAGCAAATCGCAGGTCTCTGTCCTTGGTGACTGAAAACTGCTTCGTTCCTCTTTCTCTCTAACGTTTTTGCACTTATCTGCATATAAGACAATAGAAAACAAGAGTGAATATGGTTTGAAAGAAGACTGGTTAAGGTGGGGAACTAGCTAAAGATGAACTAGCTATTCAGGATCAACAGAGAGTGGTAAAAGGATAAAGGAGTCCTAAATGTATGATTCGTTTCCCTCGTCTAATGCTTCAATGAGAAAATTAAGTCCAAATTAAGTCCAAATAAAACAGAGCTAGTGTATCCCTTCATCTAAATCGAAATCATTCAAATTCCTCTGGGGTAATTCGTTTCAAATGTGCTTAGCTACCGCCTAGTCTATTCCTAAAT